GAAGTAGAGACAGGCAGATGCGGCCCTGATTTGGGTAAAACTGAGGAAGGACGGGGAAATGAGGAAATGAGAAACCAGAAAACACCCTTGTGTCTCGTTTTTTAACCCAAAACAGCTAGGTTTTTGATGGTCCATCTACCTGTGAGGGGAACATCAGGAAGGATGCTTTGGGGAAGGGCAAGAGGAAGCCAGGAACTTCTGGCCTCGAGCTTCTCCATAGGCTGTTGCATGGGGAAGTATGAAGTCTTGGTCGGAGATAAAGATCTCAGGTCCAACAAACAGAACACAGTCTGTGATGCTGCAGTAGGAGAAACGGGGAGTGAAAAGCTGAGGTTGGAAGATAGACAAAACTTGCTCTGGAAGTTCTGAGCCACACAAAGCTCAGAATTTGGCGAGAGCGGCACACAAGGGTGGGTCACACAGTAACCGTAACCAGAGAGGAAGAATGAACGGGTGCGCCAAAAAGGACCGCTTGAGCGTCCCTGAGTGAAGCCTACCGACTGGATCTCGCCAGGCTGAGGCTGTGTTGTTGAACACTGAGGGGCCTCAGACCTTTCCTTGGGATGATGGTTGAGTGCATCGAGAGGTGCTGGGGGCCGGGGGAGCCAAGAGGTGGTGGCAGCTGCAGCCCACAGCTTTAATCCCTTTAAGCCCAGTGGTAGGTGGATCTCTGAGTCTGGGGCCAGCCTGGTCTGCAGAGCCAGTTCCAGGACAGCCAGGCCTACACAGAGAGTCCCTATTTCAAAACCAAAAGTGTTTGGGGGACACATAGCTATACATAGTTAGCTACCAGGAAGTTACAGCTATTTTTTTTTTTTTAATGGTCTGACTGGGAGCGGGGTGGGTCTTTCTTGCTCCCCCAGCTAGGTGCTCTTGCCCGGGACAGCCTGACTCAATTCCTCATGAACTGAAGCTCTTACCCAAAGATTTCTGTTCAGGGCCAGTTCCCTTTTGTGTGTTAGCCAGAACTGGTCACGCGCTATTATTACGGGCTTCCTTGATTAATCTCTTAAGTGCCCTGAGTGATTTCTCACCGGGAAGGTGTGTTGGTTCTATAACAATGTCACGGGCCGTGCGACAAGCACTGTGGGCTTGAGCACATGTTAGGACAAAGACAGAGCCTCCGTCCTCCGCCACTCAGAGGTGACAGGGGAGGGGAGGAAAGCCAGGCAGAGTGAGGTCAGGCGGGCATGGGAGAATGGTTGGAGCAGGGACCTTGGCCACATGGATCCGATGCTAATAAGAGGGGAAGTCACACTTTGGCTTCAGCAGAATTGAGGTCCTGGAATAGTGGAAACAAAAGTGAGAGAGGTGAAGATGGAGAGAGGAGGTGGGACGGCAGATGACGAGGGATGGAGGTTTTTAGAGAAGTTGGTGGTCCGGCAGGTTATAAACAGACCAGGCCTCCGTAAGGACAACGAAATCACAGGAGTGAGGCCTGAGGTGGAGTTGGGAGCAGGAGGGGACACCCCGGGCCCAGCTGGTTTCCAGGGCAGCAGATGGTGATCAGGGCTGGGGCAGAGGTTAGACAGCCCTGGTGACGTAGTTTCCTTTTTTTGTTTGTTTGAGATAGGGTCTTCCTATGTATAGTCCTGACCGTCTAGCCTTGAACTTGCTGGGTAGACCAGGCTGGTCTTAAACTCACAGAACTGCCTACCCCTGCCTCCTATGCTGGGATTAAAGGTATGAACCATTATGCCAAGATGGCTTCTGTTGTTTCCCTTTGAAGCATAGGACTTGAGGCTGGGGTGTGAGAGGTCTGGAAATGCAGGTCTGGGGTGTGTTGGAGGAGTGGGAGCCTCAGGAGACATGTAGACTGGGTTTGAAAGTGGATCCATTCACACAGGTGTGCTGGTTCTTGGCCAAGAGACCAATTCAACTGGAGTCTGGCGTCTTTGTAGATGAGCAGGATGGATGAAGAGCCAAGAAGATGTAAGATGTAAGACAGTCATAATTACAATGGCCTGAGTGAGAACACTGTGAAATCATGAAGGTTGGAGCTTGAGGGGCTTGGAGAATGGCCAGTGTGGAGATTGACACATAGATGAACCAGAGCAGCAGGTAGAGTTCAGAATGGGAGGTGGGAGGTTAGGAGGATGTCCTAGTCAGGGCTGCTACTGTTACGATGAAACACCATGACCAAAAGCAAGTTGGGGAGGAAAGGGTTTACTTGATTTACATTTCCACATTGTAGTTCCTGAAGGAAGTCAGGATAGGAACTCAAACAGGGCAAGAACCTGGAGACAGGAGCTGATGCAGACGCCATGGAGGGGTGCAGCTTTCTGGCTTGCTCTTCATGGTTTTCTCAGACTGCTTTCTTTCTTTCTTTCTTTCTTTCTTTCTTTCTTTCTTTCTTTCCCTCCCTCCCTCCTTCCTTCCTTCCTCTCCCTCCCTTTCTTTTTCTTTCCTTTCCTTTCCTTTCGTTTCTTTTCTTCTTCTTCTTCTTCTTTTTTTTTTTTTTTTTTTTTTTGGTTTTTCGAAACAGGGTTTCTCTATGTATCCTTGGCTGTCTTGGACTCACTTTGTAGACCAGGTTGGCCTCGAACTCACAGTAATCCACCTGCCTTTGCTTCCCAGGGTGCTGGGATTACAGGTATGTGCCACCACAGCAGGCTTTTCTTTTTTCTTGATGAATAAAAGAAATAAAAAGAAAAGGACATGACTAACCCAAGGTACAGTGGAGGAGGAAGTTTATTGTAGATAAAAAGGAGAGCATAGGCAGAGACAGGGACATCTGGGAGAATCCTGAGTGGATATGACCCTGAGTCATGGCAAAAGGGGGGGAGGGGAAGAAAAAAAGAGGAGTGAATAGGTGCAGCTGCCAAGGAGGCCAAGGTACAAAAAAGTCCGGTAACTAAAATGGTTGGATGATCTAGGGAAAAGCCTCTGGAGGGAGGGCAGCCCAGTCCCAGAGCAGGAGAGTTCAGGGTAGAAGGCAGGGCATGCCAGCCATAGCCTGTAACAAATTCTGGGAGCCGCCAGGTACACTTTTAGAAGTTAAATAGGAATCTCGGCCACTTGTCTCTAGTTTGAAATTTACTTAACACTTTCTCCACCACACCGCACCCCAGACAGGGTTTCTCTGGCTGTTCTGGAATTAACTTGCTTTGTTTGAGGCTTGTCTTGAACTAACAGAGATCCACCTACCTCTGCCTCCAGGCTCAGATGGCCTTCTAAGAACCCAGGACCAGCCCATGGCCTCATTCACAGTGGATTAGGTTCTCAATCACTATTTTAAGGAAAAAAAGCCCTGTAGGCTTGCCTACAGCCAGATGTTATGAAGCATTGTGTCAACTGAGACTCTCTTCTCACTGATGATCTTAGCTTGTGTCAGGTTGAGGGCACAGGAAAAGCTACTGGGCTTAAGCAAATTGCCACATCCTCCCACTCAGCCCTTCTAAAATGGAGTCTGAAAAATATATCCCAGGTGTATGTATATATATATATATATATGGGCATGGTGACATAAGCCTTTGATTCCAGCGCTTAGGAAGCAAGGGCAGGCACATTTCTGAGTTTGAGGCCAGCAAGAGGCTTTTTCTTGTACAAATAGGAAAACTAAGGGCTGGTGATGCTAGAGGCAGAAAGTAAAAAGCTGGAGCCCTGGATCTCAGCTCCAGGGTGGGGTGATTCCTGTTGTTGTCATCTCTCCATCCCTTACCCAGCACCTGCAGCTCCTCCCCCCCTCTGTCCAGGAGCTCCCTCCCTTAGCTCCCCTCATTTTGTCTCCCCCACATTCTCGAGGAGCTCCTACAAAGGTGGTCTAATTCCCAGCTCCCAGAGCTGTTCCTAGGTGCTAACCAAGCCGCGTGTTTCTGTACAAACCCTTGGAGGCAGATCTCATTCATTCCCTCACATATTTTCTCTTTCATCATTCACTCAGTTTGAGCTGTTAAATCTCCATTAAGAGATGGTTTCTCAGTCGTTGGCAAACAGCTCATCCAGTCCCCCAGCCAACCAGGCTGCAGCTCAGTGCTTCTCATCTAGGAGTCCTAGAGGCTAAGCACATGGGCTTTGGATGTTTTTCCTATGTCCACAGATATCCAGGCCTTTCCATGTGCATTGCTTGTTTATTCCTCAGGGTCATATTCATGCATGTACGACACCTGTCAGTCTTCACTTGCCTCTGTCTTCGTGACAGGGCTGGGGAATTAGATCAATTGCTGTTGATCAAATTTCACCTGGTATTTCATTGGGCGGGGGGACGGGATGACTCAAGCAATTGCTAAAGCATACAAAATATAAAGTTTGGGCTAGAGAGATGGCTCAGCATTTGGAGCACTGGCTGCTCTTTCATAGCACCCAGGATTAATTCCCAGCACCCACGCTGTGGCTCTGAAGTATCTGCAACTGAGTTCCAGGGGATCTGATGCCCCCTCTAGCCTATGTTGCCTGCACATTGGTGCACATGCAGGCAAAACACTTGGATTAAAAATAAATCTTAGGGCTGGAGAGATGGCTCAGAGGTTAAGAGCACTGACTGCTCTTCCAAAAGTCCTGAGTTCAATTCCCAGCAACCACATGGTGGCTCACAACCATCTATAAGGAGATCTGGTGTCCTCTTCTGGCATGCAGGTGTACATGCAGATAGAACACTGTATACATAATAAATAACTCTTAAAATACATAAATAAATCTTAAACCAGGTGGTGCACGTCTTTGATCCCAGCACTTGGGAGGCATTGTCAGGTGAGTTCGAATAGGCCAGGCTGGTCTACAGAGGGAGTGCCAGGAACAGCCAGGGCTCTGCCACGTGGCTCATATTCTTCTAGAACCATTGGAGCAGGAACTGGGGATTTAACTCAGGGTCTTGCATATGCTAGGCAAATACTCTACCCCTGAGCTACGACTCAAAGCCCCTCCCCCCTTCCCTTTTAAATTTTGAGATCTGTAAGCCTCCTCCCTCGGGTTCCTGAATAGCTGGGACTGTAGGACTGTACAACAGCACCTGGCTCTTCTAGATCTTAATAAATATGCAGAGAGAGACACACATACACACGTTTACAAAAATGTAAAGATTGAGTTTATTTTACAAATCAAAGCTGCCCTTCAACTTGCTTTTTCTTACAACAGTAAAAAGCCAAGATGTAGGCTGGGTGGTGTTCAGTGTGGGTGCATGTCTTACAGAACAGGCTCCCATGGGTCATACCCCACCCATGAGCTTTAGAGTGTGGGACTCTCTGCAAGCTTGTCCTCAGAAGTAGAATGGCACCTGGTCTCATCCTAGATACCCAGGACAGGCATAGTGCCTTATAAACGTGGGTGGCATGAGTGGATAATGCAAGGTCATCTCTGAAAAGGTGACATCTCTTCCACTCTCACCAAGAGTCGTGACTGGAGTGGGGATAAAAATCATTCTCCAGGGGGCTGGAGAGGTGCCTCAGCAGTTGAGAGCATTGGCTGGGCTTCCAGGACCCGGGTTCAATTCCCAACACTCACAAGGCAGCTCACAAGCCTTCTGTAACACCAGTTCCAGGGGATCTGACACCCTCAGAAAATACCAATGCACATTTAAAATATAATATTTCAGCCATCGAGCTTCGGGAAAGACACACCCTGCAGGCCATGCCACTGAATTAAAAAGTTCTACACCATCATCGGTGACAAGAAGGCTGAGGTGACCTCCTCCTGTAGGGAAAACCCCAGCCCTAAGGAGAAGCAGCCACATCAAGGCAGAGACGCTCCTGCCCACCGCCCTCCCCCCTTTCCCTGTCACCCCCAGCGCCATCTTGTCAGCACTACTGCTTTCCCCCAGGCACCACTGTCTCGAGGATCCTGTCAGAAGCACCCTGCCTGCACACCTAGGCAGTGAGGTTGGGTCTGGAGAGAAAGGCTGGCCTTCTCTTCTCTGCAGCGCACTCGGAAAAAGACAAGGATGAGGTGGAGATACCTAGCACGACCCCTCCCCCCCACCTACCCAAGCCAAGGCAGCAGGACCTGTCCTCTGCTGCCTCGCCTGAGGGAGAGTCCCAGCTCCAAGCTATGCTGTAGGGCCTACAGGACAGAATCTTCTTCCCTTTAGGGGTTAAGTGTGGGTGGAGCTAAGGTAGAGCCCAGGCTCAGCAGGAAGAGCAGGGTGGGGTCTTCCACCCCTCTCCCTCCAGGGGATTCCTGGAGAGGAGTCTGGAAGCTAGCAGTCTGTGGGCCTGGCTCCACAGATGTCTAACCACACCTGTTTCTCCAAGTTCTAGTCTCCAAGGAAAGCAGATCACAGGACCAGGACAGGACTGGGAGAGCTCTCCAGTTCATTTCTTTAGTGTCCCCAGGTCCCAAGGAACTGAAGGTCAAAGCATTCATCCACTTTTTGGATGCAAGATCCTCCCAGGCAGGTGGTCAATCAACACAGTCCATGACCACTTGGAAGGAGCTGGAAGTGTTTTATTAGCCTCGGAACTCGTCTCCATCACCACTTCCCCGCCACAGATACAGAGCCGGTGAAAGGACATATGTTTTGTGCGCTGCTATGGAGGTATACAGTGGGGGTCTTCTCTGTCCAGGTATTGTAGGAAGGTGGCTCAGAGTCCACAGTTCAGCCTCCTGAAGTAGCTCTACAGGGCGGCAGAGCGAGCTGTCCAGTCAGGATCTGCATTCCACCAGCAACGGATCTCTCAGAATCCCACTGCAGGCACACCCAATTCTTGAAAGTCTCAACAGCCTTTGGTGTGGGATTAGGACAAAGACTACGGATCCAGCTCAGCTCTCACAGGCCGGTTGGGGAGGAACAGGGGTATAAAAACAATAAATTAAATCAGAAGATCAGAGGCATGATTGGATGCGTGGAATCAGTCCAGAGTCTTCGGAAGTCCTGGGGCTTGATCTAAGAGGCTTGTGGGCCAGGTAGCTCAACAGGCTGGGTTGTCTCTCTCATCTGGTCAGCAAGGTCCTCAGGCCTGAGGCTGTAGGGTGGAGGTGGTTCTGTGGGAGTTGACTTCAGAACAACCTGCAGGGGAGAAAGGGTGTTTGTCACGCTTAGGATCTGGGTAAGGAACAGCAAATCAGGTTGGCAGAGCCTTTCCCAATCCGTTACTTCCAGAAGATGGACAGCCAGGTATGAAACAAGCTGGGGATGGGGCAGAGAGACCCACCTGGCTGTAGGGTGGGGGGGGATCCAAAGTGGTGACCCAGATGGTGTCTAGGGAGGACGGTTCTGGAGGCATCCGCTGATCCATTCTGTGGTTCTGCTCTGGCTTTCTGCACTTGTGACAGAAGCGCTTCACCAGGCCACAGATGCACAAGAGGGGCACCATGACCAGGAAGATAATGAACAAGATCCTGGGGTGGGGGAGAAGATATCTCCATAAGTGCCTAAGCCATGCTCCCTTACCACAGCCCCTCCATCAGCTACCCCAACCCTTAGGGTAGGCCCAGCCCTCTGGGGATGAGGTTGGGTCCAGTCCAGTGACCCCCAGGCTCACCTGAAAGGGTCATTTGCGAGATCCCACATGCTTTTCTCCATGCAGCACCCACTCTCACAGCATACGAATCCTCTGGGGCAGTTTCTGGTCAGGACAGACAGGCATGGGGAGACACTGATGAGGTTTATGTATACAGTGTGTTCGCCACAGGGTCGTACCCAAGGGTCCCCGCTTCCCCAGACACTTATACCCTCAGGCTGCAAGCCGCCCTTTGTGGGTGTGAACTACAGCTCCATCCTGGGTTCACTGGGAGGAACTGGGGCCCGGACTTGAGACCTGAGTCCAGGGTTCATCGCGGCTGAATGCCATTATTCCTCAGGCAGAATGATCACCGCTGCAAACCTTCCAGAGGCAGCACTGCTCATTTGACTTACCCCCCCTCCCCCAAGCTAAGAAAGGGTGGGGATTAACAGCAGTTACATGTAGACCTGCTCCAACCATGCAGATCCCAAGGTTGGGTGATAAGAGCGGGGCTATGGTTTCAGCAAACGTGATGAGTGAGGCGTCTGTCCCCTCACCCAGGGCAGAATCTGAGGGTACACCCTTCCCCCTGCCTTAACTGACAATTGTCGCCAATGTCCCATACTTACAAAAAGTGACATCTGGCTATAAGCTGTGGAAGAAAAAAAAAAAAAAAAAAAAAAAAGACAAGAGGTCAGAGCTCAAAAACTCAAGGATTGTGACTGCTGTCAGAGAGCTTGCCCAGCATACTCCAGGCCTTGGGTTTAATTTCCAAGGCAGCAAGCAACAAATCAGGTGTGCAGCTGGGGGTGGGAAGGCACAGGACTTGAATCCCAGCACCTGGGAGGCAGAGGCAGGTGGATCTCTGTGTGTTCAAGGCCAGCTTTGTCTACAGAGTGAGTTCTAGGACATCGAAAGCTACACAGGGAACCCCAAAAAAAATTTAGTCTCAAAAAACCAAAAACCAATCAATCAATCAGGTGTGCATAAACCAGGAATAGCAGTACATGCCCATTATCCTAGAACTCAAGAGAAGCCAGGACCATTCAAGGTTATATGGACAGTTTGAGGCCAGATTGGGAACATGAGATCCTGTCTCAAAAGGAACTGTCTCTGCTCAGACATTGTTCCAGAAAGCAGGTTTTAGGTCTGTCTCTCCTCTTTCCAACTACCATGTCCAGAGCCAATGACTGGAGTCTGCCTTTGCCTGGGATTAAAGGCATGTATTACCATGCTGGCTCCCTCTCCCTTTATTGCTCTCACTAGGTAGCCCTGGCTACCCTGGAATTCAGAGAACCATCTCTGCTAAGAGGCATGGCTCGCTACAGCTGATTCACAGGTGATTCCCCCTGCCACACACAGAGATCCACCTTTAGTGGATCCTTGGCTCCAGAACCCCCCCGAAAGCAACCCAACCCCCCCCCCCCCACACACACACCATGACCCCCTGTCCCAGGTAGAGGCGTCTCTGGACATTCCCCTAAACATGCTCAAGCCCTATTCATCCTCTGGTCCTTGCTGGAAATTCCCTGCCCTGCATCCCTCATTGTTTCAGGGCACCTGGGGCCTCCATGCAGAATTCCATCCTGTTGATAGCGGTACCGTGTCTAAGTTCTTAATGAGGACTCTGTTCTCCCACGTGTCAAGGAATCTCCCCCTTCGGCCACCTCACTTCAAATTACAACCATCGCCAGATGTGTGACCGAGGCCTTTAATCTCAGCACTCCGGTGGGAGAGGCAGGTTGAACTCAGTTAGCTCGAGGCCAGCTTGGCCAACATGGCAGTTTTGAGGGCAGCCAGAACTGGACCCTATCTCAACAAATGAAGAATAGGGATCCAGCTAAAGATCGTGAGGAAGGGTACAGCAAGCTAAAGATGTGAAGGGTCCCAGAAACTCAGTCACAAATCCCCATCCTTCCAAATATCAGACTCTGCACTCTTCCCTTTCCCAGACTTTTTTTTTTTTTCCAAGACAGGATTTCTCTGTGTGGCCCTGGCTACCCTGGATTCCCTTTGTAGACCAGATGGCCTTGAACTCACAAAGACCTCCCTACCTCTGCCTCCCAAGTGCTGGGATTGAAGGCATGTGCCACCATGCCCTGTTTCCTGGCCTACACATTTTTGTTGTTTTTATTTCTCAAGGCAGGGTTTCTTTGTGTAGTCCTGGCTGTCTTGGAACTCACTCTGTAGATCAGACTGGCCTTGAACTCAGAGATCCACCTGCCTCTGCTGGGATTAAAGGTGTGCACTGTTTCTAGGACGACAGTGGTTAGGCCAAGCCTTTAATTCCAGTAAAGGAGGATCTTTGTTGAGTTCAAGGTCAGCCTGTTCCACACAATGAGACCCTGTGTAAAAACAAACAAACAAACAAACACCCAGCAACGGTTAATTGACAGAGCTAATAAAAAGGGCCAGGATTCTTCCTCTTCCCATCTTAACCAGGGGCTGGACTGATCCGGGATGGTCGGACTGACTGTAAAGGGGCTGCAGAGAGTAGTCGGGAAAGGACTACAAAGGTCTTGAGCCTGGAGGAGTGCCTTGAGCCTGGCTTCCTGCGTGGCCTTGGACGGAGAAATTCAGGTTCCAAACACCCAGTGGACTGTTCGGGGGAGCAGGCTTGGGACTTCATATACCACAGCCCTTCCCACCTCCACCAGATTCTCAACCAAGTTTGTAAATTTAATCTCCGGAGAGAGAGAGGCAGAGGCAGATGGATCTCTGAGTCTGAGGCCAGCCTAGAGTTCCAGGACAGCCAGGGCTAAGCAGACACCCTGTCTCAAAAAACCAAACCAAACCAACCAACCAACAAAGGCTTGTTCTGACCACCTCTCAGGAAAACGTGCCAACCCAAGACACTTAAGAGTTTGGGTAGGAAGAACAAGAGCTTAGGACACCCCTGCCGGTGGCCACCCAGCCCAGGTCCTGGCAGCCAGGTCTACTCCGAGGACAAGCTGGAACTTATCAGAGAAGCAAGAGAACCTCCTCCTCCCTAGTACACAAGCAGAGAAGTCCCAGTCCCAGGGAGGGCGGATATACTAACACCACAAGGTCACCAGCCATGGATGAACAGGGAAGGAGAGACCGCCTAGTCCAGACACGCAAGACAAGACCTCAGGTACCAGCCTGACTCAGAGCTTATTAAGTGAAGACTAAAATGGGGGTCAAAGATCCTATTTAGGGCTGTGGGTGAGGCCAGATGCCAGTAACAACACAACCCTGCCAAGACTCGGGCTGGGTTTTCCCAGGGCCTCCTTCCTGGGTTCCTACCTCCACTTTCCCCAAACAAAACAGAGACAAAGTTGCTACTTGTTCCTGTTTACGTGAATTCCTGACAAGGTAAGGCAGGGACTGGGCTCAGAGGCAAGCCTCTGCCAGGTAAGGGTGCTCCAAAAGGCTCGGAAGCCTTGCTTACCTCCTCGGCGCTTACTCGTTGGAGACTGGGCTGTAGGCTGAAGAACAAGGCGAGCGTGAGGAGGCCGGAGACCCAGGCGTCCGACATCCTGACAAGCGGGCCACTGAGCTTCTGAGTGTAAAGGAGTGACGGGCAGGACCTTTCCAACTTCTCTCCACCTATGGGGCACAGCCCCGAGACGGGGGCGGAGTTAATACACCTTCCTGGGGCCGGAAGGACCAGGAGCAAGCGAGCCTGAGCTCAGGGAGCAGAAGTGGAGAGGAGCCGGGTTTGCTCGAGTTGGAGGACTTGGGAGGTTAGAACTTAACCTCTCTGGTAGCGCTCTCTGGGAACTCCTTACCTGGGCCCTGCTTAAATAGTGGTTAGAGCAGGGCGTGGTGACACCAGCCTTTAATCCCATCACACAATCTCTGTGATTGTGTGATGGGATTAAAGGCTGGATAGTCGAGGTTACACAGAGAGACCTTGTCTCAAAATAAATAAATAAATAAATAAATAGATAAGATTTAAGAGATCAGCTCAAGACTGGAGGGGTGTTGTACCTGCTGGACAGGAGAGACATAAAGGGAGGAAGGCAGAGATTGTGGAAAAGGCAGGCCGAGGCACACGAAGGATAATGGGAAGGGGGGGTGTCACATAAACGGTGCCCTTCCTTCCTTCCTTCCTTCCGTCCTTCCCTCCTTCCCTCCCTTCTTCTTTTCTCCAAGAGAGGATGGAAAAGCCACTGGGTTGGGGAGGGAACTCTCCACAGGACTAGGACATTAGTGTCCCCTCCCTTCTGAGACTTCGTGTGACGTTGCTGGTAGTTTCTTTCTCACTAAAGAAAAACTGAGGCTAAGAACTTGTGTGGTGACGCTAAAAAGCCACTAGCCCTGAGCTGGGACAAGCAGACCCGGTGGGATGCGTGGAAGGACTCAGACTGTCGGCCACCAGGTGGCAGCATCGCCCAGCGCCGAGGTGCGCACAAGGACTCCGGACTTGAACTGAGAGGCCCTGGGGCCCCTCGCAAGGAAGCCTGCAGACAGGTAGATGCACGATGGCTGTCAAAGGTGGTAGAGAGACATGTAGCAGCCGAGCCCGGGGGAGGAGGCGCAGTTAGGGAGTGGCTGGGTCGCTGCCGGGTCTGGGGACCAGCCTCCCTGGGAGGCTCTGATGTTAGTGCTTGGCGCATCTCTTGCTGCCTGTCCACTCTGACTTGGCTAATGGGAAACAGGTAGCTTCTTGGAGCCCTCCCCTGGCTTTTTCTTTTTTTCTTTTTTTCTGGGCCATACTGAGAGACTCTCTGAGCCTCGCCTTTTCTCCCAGTCTCCCGTTTTTGGATTTCAGCGTTCGCCATCTCCAAAGGCACCCTTTTGGATCCATTTCTCCTCCTGTGGAAGGAGACGGGATCGGTTTTGTTCTTGCCCACATTTCTTTGAGTGCTTTGGTCCTGCACTCCTTCTGTCCCTCGGGGACCCTCTAGCTGGCTCATTCTCCTCCAAGCAATAAGCCTTTGGTCTCTCTCCCCTTTTCTGCCTCTGTTTCTCATTATCCCCTGGCCCTCCCTAGCTCTTAAAAACAGAACCTTCCAGTACCAAGCCAAGTGCAATTGGGATCTGGCTCCAGAGAATCCCCTCTATTTGCAATCTCTAGTGACTGATTCTCAGGAGGGAAATGGGAGGACATATGCCCTCTTGCCAACCCCCTGTAATTAGCAAGGGGGTTGACTAGCGCCCCCTGTCCCCAGCCAAGGAGGAACCTCCTTGGGACAGTGCTGAAACTTCCCAACACTCACACTTCTAGCTTTTGAGTGAAATTGTTGCTATCTAGGACTTCTGACCCTCCTGTCCCTGCCCAAGCCCCACTCTCTCAGCATCCCAGAGATGTACTTCTATTGCCTTTCCATTCCCTGCTCCCTGCTACCCTGTCCAGGCTTGGAGCCCTCTAGAATTATGCCTCAGGGAAGAGAAGAAGGCCAGGCCTACTCAGTAGTTGCGAAGAGGGTGTGTTTGGGGGGTGCTGGAGAACTGAAGAAAGTAGCTAGTACCAGTGACTCTGCCGGGCAGAATGAAGCTGATGTTACTTTCTTCTTCTGGGTTTCTGGCATCTACCTAACCCAGATTTATTGTTGCCAGGAGAAAGAGGGAAAAGTGGGGTGGGAGGGAGACATTTAGGTAAGTTGCCTTTAGAAAGGTTGCATTTAGATAATATTGAAGTTTATTTGTTATGTGAAATTCAAAGTTTTCTTTTTTCTTTTTCTTGTCTTTCTTTTTTTAAAGACAGGGTTTCTCTGTGTAGCCCTGGCTGTCCTGGAACTCACTCTGTAAAGCGGACTGGCTTTAAGCCCAAGAGATCAGCCTGCCTCTGCCTCCAGAGTGCTGGGACTAAAGACCACCATCACCCGATAAGTATTATTTAAAGAAATGCTAAAATTTATTTGTTATATGAAATGCAAAGTATCTCATATTTTACTAGGTAAATTCGACTCTGCCCACATTCATAATATCAGAGGAATAGACACTGGAGAACAGCTGTCCACCCTTTGCCCTACATCTTCTGAAAGGAGAAAGTGTGATCCCTAGACTTGACTCATCAGGCAAGTCCAAAGGTTGAAGTTGCCTCTGGCCTCTTGGGTCCCCCCCCCCCCCCATGATACCAGATTGCCTCTCCATGGCCATTTCTGCAGATAGGGAGGGGATGAGCCGGGAAGTTGGAGATGCCTGAGTAAGACAAGAGCCCAAGGCCCTTGCCAACTTCCATTAAGAGGGAGGCTCAGTATTCATGTATGTCAATTAGGGATGGAGCTTGGTGGAAGAGATGTTCTTTCTCGGTGTAGCCCTGGCTGTTCCAGAACTCACTCTGTCTCTTTCTCCTGAGGGCTAGGATTAAAGGTGTGTGCCATCACTGACTGGCAGGAGAGCTGTTCTTGTTCAGAGAGACAGGGGTCCCATTCAAAGGCTGCACCCGCCACCCCCCACCCAGGGGGCCAACTGAGAAGGGTGGCATGTGCATGCATACATGCTGTCCTCTAGCATGCAGGGAACCAGGGGTAGGAGGACCCAGGAGGAAGACCTTCTGGCGTCTCTGCGGCTCTCTGGATTCCACACCAGATTCCAGCTGGGGTTTCCCAACAGCGCTGACGTCCCCAGTCCTTCACATTCTCTCTTCTCCAGGCCATTTGCTGAAGAACGAGTTGATTGTCTACGGGTCCTCCTAGGGCCTGGCTGGAGGGGCCTGGAGGTCAGCTGGCCACCCACGCTTTCTCAGAGAAGGCAGCTGGAACCCAGGGGCCAGGAAGGCCAACTCACAGAGGACATGAGAGCTGAGTCACAATCAGGACCGTAAGGGTTCTGAGACCCCCACACGGCTCATGTGGCTACATCTCAGCCAGGGGAGCCGCAGCTCTCTTGGAGGAACCCTCAGCCGGGGGTTGGGAGAGAGAGGCTTTACCAATACTGACCTAGCTGACCCCGGTGGGGGGGGGAGGGCTAGGCTGTGTTCTATTTCATCCCTTGATAGTTCATCCTACTATCCATTGCTTCTCTGCATTCAACTAAAACTATGATACCTAATAGCACCCCCGCTATGGCCTCTTCCGAGGAGGCTGAGTACTCAGCTCCGCTCCAGTGGTGTTCCGCCTACAGGGGCAGTATTGAGTCATTTTTAGCAGATCTGCCATTTATGGTCTGCTGTGTGACAGGAGGGCATGCTCGTAGTCCCTAGCTTTAAATTTGTTTGCAAAAGGAGGACCAGTGAGTCGGAGGACAGCATGGCACACAGACTGTAGGGGGATGACGTAAACTTCTCATCGATACTGAGGATCCTGCACAAACCTGAACACAGACTTCTTCCTCTCCAGCTGGGCAGGCATAGTCGCCATCCCCAACCCCAATTGCCCGGCATCAGGCATACAGCCATAGCAAATAGACTTGAGCTGGTTTTGTTTGGGGGCAGAATGGAGTGCCCAGGCATTAAGGGTCTTGCTTTTTTTTTTTTTTTCTTCAAAACAACTGTCCCTCTGTCCCTCTATGTGACCTGCAGGAGACCAGCACTGTTGCCCCCGAATGTCTGGCTCAGCAGCCCCCTCCACTGTCCAGTATGTGTTCTGCACTCCTTCCCTGCGGTCAAATTAGAAGGGGTAAGGTAGTGTGTGTGTGTGTGGGGCGTTGGTGCTGACCACTCCCACGTTTGGTGGGATGTGATAACTGGGAGGACAGAGCTCTGAGATTTCTGTTCTTTTTTTTTTTTTTTTTTTATGACAGGATTTCTCTCTACGGAGTCCTGGCTGTCCTGGAACTCCCTACACAGACCAGGTTAGCCTTGAACTCATTGAGATCCATTTAACTCCGCCTCCCGAGTGCTGGGATTAAAGGCATGCACCACCGCATCTGGCCAGAGAGCTTTCTAGTCTTTCTAGGTTACTCTTTTCCCACACTCCTTCATGGGTCTCTGGAGAGCTCTCAGGGACTGGAGACTCAGAGCTGTCGCCTCCCCTGTGAGGTGCAGTACAGACTTGGCTCACTAGGGACATCACAGCCTCTTCTCTAAGGTCTTTAGCGTGTGCTCCGTGCTGAGTCTCTTGGAGTGTGTTTCTCTCTAACCTACTGTCACTTGCTTTAGATCCATCTAGAGGACCTTCAGGGACCCCCATAATCATCCCTCAGCCAACATCCCTCCCCGCCCTGCCATCACATTCTAGAGGCCTTCACCTCATTCTCTCGGTTTCTTTCCTGTTCTCAGCCTGGGTCACTTCCCACCTGGGATAAATCTTGCCCCAGCACCTCTCTCATGTCCAGTAAATGCCTTCCTGCCACCTCCTTCAGAAAGCCTTCCTAGACTTGGATCTTCTTATAAAAGCAGTCCTTCAGTGCCCTCTCCGCTTTTTCTAGGGCCTCTTCCTTCTTTCTCGAAGATGTGTGGACCTGCCCTCGTGTTCCTAACCAGGCTCCAAGGAACCAGCCAGCTCGGATTCAGCCTTCATTCCCCTGTCAAAGCGGAAGCTGATTGGAGCCTCCAGGGTCAGGAATGGGTTTCTCCAAGGAGAAATGTTGTTTCCAAAGTCCTTGGTGAAGGGCCCTAGGTTGGAGGAGGGGACAGTGGCAGGTTCCAGACTGACCTTACTTGCTGTATGTTTGGTGGTGTCTACTTCTGCTTCCTACCCCACAAAAGTATGCTGAAGCTTATGCTCCCTGTCTCAGTATAAGATAGCACCCCAGGAATTGAGCTACTCTAGGGATGCTGGGCTGGGGGCCACGACTGCTGACCCGCCTCCTAGGAGGGACAGAGACCCAGCAGGGTCCTGTCCGTGGGGTCAGGGTCTTAGTCTCCTTCCCAACACCTATGACTATGGAAGCCCGCTAGCCCTTCTTCCTGAATGGTAGACAAGAGGGTAGGTTAAGCGACTTCTGGAGTTGATCCCAAGTCAGAGCTGCCAGTCTGTGGGCCAGGACACCCGGGGATGGTGAACCACCTGACAATTAACGGTGCAGGGAGCTTATTACCCTAATGACTGGGTTGGAGGGTCTCTACTGATGTTCACCTTCCTCAAGGCTTAACAGAGACCAGGAAAAAAAAAAAAAAAAAGGCATTTGGGAACCATTATACTCCCAAAGTGCAGGTTTCCGGGGCCCAGACCTGAGGGGGCTGTCCAGGAAGTGGAGGTGGTTTCAGGAGAGGAGACTGTTGAGTTAATGGACTTTGCTGTCTGTGTTGAAACAACCACCAAGGTGCAGGCTGAAGAGGCTGAGCTGAGACTGGGGATGAGGGGCAGGAGGCCCCCAGTCTCCTCTGTCTGGGGCGCCATCCATCCCCCGAAGGATTTCTCTGCCCCCACCTACGTTTGTTCCTTGAGCTAGGCACCTGGAGCCATAAAGAAACAAGGAAATTGTGATTCCTAGGTTCTTCCTTTTTCAGCTCCACTCTTACACCCGCTTTGAAAGAGGCTTCTACTGTACCCTGGCTGTGCGCTGATCTGTGTTACGTGATGTGTCCCTGATGGGACTGGGGCTTGCGGTTACATTGACAGGACTCTCCCAGCCCCAAAAAAGCTGGAGCTAAAAGCAGCCCCTCTGAGGCCTGGGTTCATTGAAGCGAGAGCTTCTTAATGACCTGGGTCTGTGGGTTAAGTTTGGATGCGGGGACAGCCTGGGAACATCCCAGAAGGAAGCCTGGAAGGAGAGAGAGAGAGAAAGGGAGGGAGGGAGAGGGAGGGAAGGAGAGAAAAGAAAAAGAAAATGAGGGCGAGAAGGGGCGGAGGAAGGCGGTGGGTGGAGAGCACATTCTTCCCGCGATCCTGGCTAGGCCAAGCAGCCACATCATCTGGCTCCCAGTTGAGGACAGACTTGGCTCTGGCCGTGTGCACGCACACATGTGATGGCGCGTGCGTCCGAGTACATACGTGTGCACGTGCTGTGTGCACCCAGCCAGCGTCTGTGCTGACGTGGCCGCGCCCCTCACCCCAGCCCAGCTTCCTTATCTCCGGGATAAGTTGGCTCCAGGATCCCCCCTCTCCGCAGCGGCCCTGTTAACGCCTCCAGCTCCAGTGTTAGCGCCTCGCCGCCGGGCTCCCTCCCTCTGCCCCTGCGGGCCCCCAGAGAGGCCCCGTGGCTTGCAGCCCAGTTCCTGCCTTCTGATTCTACTCAAGCTTTTTATTTTTCGACGCTGGAGTCTCCTTTTAGCCCCCTAAGCCTCCGGCTCTATCATTTCCTTGTAGAACGGTTCTTTGCAGAGCAAGGTCGCCTGGGGGCAGGCGGGGGGGGGGGGGGCGTGAAATCAGTCCCCTCACAGCTTAATGGTTCTTTTCTCCCGAGAGCCGCTGTGGATGAAATACTAGGGTGCAAAGAGACCCCTATCAACGTTCCCTGCCTGGAGAGTGGGAGGGGGACTCAAGGAGGCACATACAGTTTAAGAAGAAACTGTTCTAGGGACCAAAGCTGGGACCCGACGCTGTCTTTGTCCCCGTCCCAGCCCCAAAGGCGAGCGTGGGAGGAGGGGGGGAAATGTAGATAGAAATGTCCCCTCCAGACCGCTGCTTCCAGTCTGATCCGGCCCGCTGATACTGAGTGGGACAGGGTGGTCCTGTGCCCGGAGCCAGGTTGTCAGGCGGCCAGGACTGCAGGTTTCCTCTACTGAAGGGCGCCTTCCTTTCAGGCTTTGATGTGTCTGCTAGGTTAGTGGAGGATGTTTGGCTTGGGGCCTTGGGCCAGGATAAACTCTCTCTGCCTGCCCCTGCCTTCCGAGCCAAACCACTGCCTCCTTAACCGCCAGAATCCTGCCTCTCCCAGCCGCTGCATCTGGGCTCCTCCAAGGCTGCTTTGCCCAGCCTGTCCAAGCCATGGTCCCTGAGCAACAGCTCTTACTGCTACTGGGGAGAGACCCTAAGTGTTAGGTGTCTTACCGTTACTTCGGTCTGGCACTGGGTGCCTGCATGCTGGAAGACCAGACCATTCTTGCTTGGCAGAGGTGGAGGCAAGACCCCACTGCCGGCAGAGGACAGGATAAGCTGCCTGAGAGGCTGCAGTGCCTCCAGACGGGTCAGCTCCAGATGTGGGGATGACTCACCGTGGATGGGGAGGGGTGGGCAGTCGGTGTGGGGATGGACAATAGGGTGGTGTGAGACCCCCCCCGTCACTTCCAGCCGCTGTTCCCTGTCCCCTAGAGCAACCCCCAACTCCACTGCCAGCCAAGTGGGACCACCTCAGTGTGCAGCCTTGCACATCCCCGCCAAGTGCTCGGAGATGAAGAAAGAAAGGGCCCCTGAGAACATTACCGCCAGGGAACAGAGGAGAGGGGTGAAGGTGCTTGCTGAATTGGAAAGGGGCAAGAAGGGGGGTGGGAGGGCAGACTGAGAGGGGAAGGGCCTGGGAGAAGCCCAGAGCAAAAATGTTGGCCTCTCTTGGGCCTGTGTCAGAACTGTAGCACAGGGAGGAGGGTACAGAGGAGTAGCTATTTGGGTGTGAGTATGTGGGTGTGAGTGGCTTGGGTGGCTGCAGTGGAGGGGTCATATTGGATGAGTAGCTTATGCTCGCTGGGGGTGCTGTGTATTTTGTGCATGGCAGGGTGGAGGAGGGGAATCTCGGTTTATATGGAGAAGAAGAAAAAACAAAACAAAACAGGAAGACAGCTGTCACTGGCTTCAGTGGGCAGAGGGTTGCAACCAGCATGCTTAGGCCAACTCTGCTTTCTGGCATTGAAAGTGGCCCACTCCCCTGAGGAGTGAGAGGCAGACAGAGGCAGCCAGGTAGCCCAGAGCTCCGAAGACCTGGGCGCCCCTCAGTCCAGTCAGGCAGTTGGATGTCCCAAGCTTGAGGCTAGCTCGCTGGGCACTGCAGCTGGGTACAGCTCGGCCTGCCCTCTCGCCTCGGCAGAGCTGCTGTCCTGGTCTCCTCCTTGGCTTCCAGGTGGGTCCGCTGACGGAGTTGCCAGCGGCTCCCTGGAGAGGTCCACCTGTGCCAGCCACCCGGGGCCAGGGTAAACAGGGCACTAAGTGTCTGGGCGGGTGCCTGGCGGGCTGGGCACTGATTCTTTACACAGAGCTCGGTTCCAGCCCGGCTGGGTTGCATCCTCTCACCAAATGACAGGTCTGATGCCCCAGGCCCATAAATTGTGTTTTCTGGTTAAGTGGGGACGAATGGGGGCTGTGAAGCAGACGGATAATCAAGTTGAATAAGAAGGAAACATGTCACTTCTGGGAGGGGGGATTGTGGTGACTGTCTCCCTTGATGTAGGGGTTCTGGCTCCTCGGAACAGTCCTGGTTGATCCTCTAGTCTCCCAGTAAATGTCCACTCACAGCCTACGCCCGTGTACTCTCACGTGTTCATGTACTCACCACCAATATACACACCCAGCCCCCAGCTCCTTTTCCAGTGTTGCACAGTTCTGCTGTGGCTGAAATTCAGCCACTTGCTATGTCCTGACATGGTCCCACTTCTTACAGCGAGGGGATGGAGCCCAGAGAGGCTGAACCCCGTCTCCTCAATCACCCTCGTGAGGTATGAGCTTAGATGTGTGTACACACGCTTCTCTAGATCCTTCCATGCCACCACCCAGTCCCGCTGGTCCCCAGTCTCTGCCCCTTCTCCTTGGACATGGGTTGGAAGAGGCTCCTTGAGCTTGCCCTGCCTTTGAGGTCCCTCATGCCCCTCTTTACCCTCCAGAGTACGTGCCAACTCCCACATCACAGGGCAATTCCTAAGGGCGACGGGGTGTTAAGGCTGGGTCTGGAGGCAGAAAGGAGGGACATGAAGAGGACTCGGGCTGCCTACAACAGAGGGTGAAAGAAAGGCTCAGCCGGGTTAGGAACTCCGCCACTCCTCAGCCCCCAAGAGCGGAAGCAGGCACCGACCCAGTTTGCCTAGGCTGGAGAGACAATGGGGGACTAACGGGAGATGCACCCTCTAAGGCTGCCTGCAGGCAGAGGCCCTCTCTCCCTTCAAGCCCAGTGAGGCATCGTCTAATTTAGGATGTATTTTGGAGAGAGTGACCAGTAGCAGTGGGCACACATCTAGGTACATGGGTGTCACGAGGATAGTGGGGAGTTGTTGCCAAAGGGACTCCAGATGCCGCCTCCTCGATTCGTTCTCACTCGGTCAGTATCCTGTTCCTCCAGGCCACCCATGGCAACATCTCCCCCTCCCGTATCTCTTCCTCTCTTGCCTTCCCCCTCAGCTGGCTAGAGTAGCAGCTAGGGCCACTGCGGCCATGTTTCCAGGATGGAAGGAAGCTTTATCCTAAGAGGCCTTGGCTGAATCCAGGATCTCAAAGTAGCTATGCCAGCTTGTCCTTTCCTTCGCTCAGGTCTCCCCAGAGATCCCCTGCATCTAGGGTCCTTGGAGTCAGAATCCTAACCTTGCTAGATAGTGTGGGAAAGGGGTACAGTCAGATCTGCTAACCTTGGTGACCAGTGGCTGAGGTCAGATCTCACCTAGTATGTGGTGACGTGGTGTGTGTGGTCTCAGCACTCAGGGAACCTGGAGCCTAGGCCCTATCTCTGGAAGACCCCATCGCATGTTCAGCGTGCCTGTCTGAGAGCATCCAGATCTGTCCCCAGGCCTGACATTACCATTAGCAGTGCCCCAGAGTAGCCTGGTTAAGCCATAAATTATCCTCAGCCATGCAGACGGGTAGGTCATAACCCCCCATTCTCCAGGCCTCTGCGAAGAGCTGTGGGGCCTGCTTGAGCCTCACCCAAGCATAATAGGGCCAGACAGCAAAAAGGGGAGCTGGAGCTATATAAGTAAACCGTCTGGGGGGAGGGGGAGGCCCTCCAGCGTTGGGTACAGTGGGCTGCATGCTGGAGAGGGAGAAAGACTTGCGGTTCCCCCCCAAGCATCGTATAATTTAGGATGTATTTTGGGCACTCTCTCCTAGCTCAGGGTGGGGCTGAGGCTAATTTAAGGGTTTAATGGATTGAGGAAGGAAGAGAGGGAAACCCTCCCATTCAGGCTGCTTGGCAATAGATCTTGGTCTCTTCCCAAGATCTCTGTGACTTCCAGGGTCTCCTCTCCCCCACTCTGGCCCCTCCCCCAGCACCCCTCCTCAGCCGTGGGACAGTTATCACACTTCCCCAAGTGTGAGGATTTGGGTCTCAGGTCTTAGCCCTCCTCCCACCACCAGACACTGGAGCAGCTAGGGTCTGAGAGAAACACTGGAGGCCATGGAGTCGCTATGGGGATGGTTAGGATGTTCTGGAAGGTTCTGAAGTGTCTCAGCCCCTGGTCCAGATGTCCCACCACCACAGGGTGCTTCCGGGCCAGCGGAGGAGGCACTGGTTCTGCTAGTGTCTTAACGGTGAAGGTGTAAGCTCGGCCACAGTCTGAAGGAGGAGACACAGCAAAGGCAACGCTGCAGTCTGGTGG